AGCCGGCGGGCGGAAGGATAGGGCCATTAGTGAAGCTGCTGCGGGTTTGTGTAGATATTTATCGCTTTTATCAGTCTCGAGATGATGATGATGGACATGGGTTAAGTTCAAAATATGAAGATGTAGGGGGCCAATCCAAAATATGAGTGTGGAGGGCTAATGTGAAAAAATAATTCTGAGCATTGCCTCGGGGTTCCAAAATTATTAATTTTCTTGCGTTTTAAATTTTTAAATAATGAAAAAACACGCTGATATATAAAAGGACATTTTCGGTCATATTTTAGTTTGTTTCGCTTAGGACAAAATTTCAAATTCCACCTGTTTAGAAACTTAATTGTGACCCATTTTGAAATCATTTACCAAATTCGATCAAGTTTTAGCCAGTTGGCTGAAACTGAGTCGAATTTGGCAAAAAAAGTTACGAAAGTTGAAGTCCCATAAAGTTTAAGCACTCTGCTAACAAAGTTTATTAAGTGTATATAAGTTCACGGGACTTGAAATCCCGTAAAAATTTTCAAATTTAGCCAACTTCACAGGACTTCAAGTCCCGTGAAGTTTCAGGCATAGAGAGCTTCTGAATTGTGTCACAAAAGTTGCAGAGGGCTGCGATGGAGAGCAATGCTAGAAGTTTGTTCGAGTGTTGGCGCCACGAAGAAGACAAGCAACCTCATCGTAGGCTTGAGCAGCATCTTCAGCGGTATCGAATGTGCCAAGTCACACTCTTATCTTCTGAATTGTGTTCTTGATCTCTGCCACCCAGCGACCAGAAGGCCTCTGACGAACCCCCACGAATCGCTTTCTGGCACGTCGGATGCCACCAAATGTAGCTACTCCCTCATCCCCTACATGCCCAACTGAGCTTTCACCTGAGCTCATACCAGAATCTTCTGGATCAGTGTTCTTCCTCTTTCTCGTCATCTCCTATTGTGATTGTGTTTTCTGGGATAAAGAGTACGGACTAGTTAGCAGCATATATAAAGAGGGAAATGGAGATGGAGACATGTTAGGGAGAGAGAGAATAGGGTTTTGTAGGTTGATTCATCCCCTTGTTCTTCTTAGATTTCAACATTTGAATACAACATATGGAGGTTTGTCGCGGCCCTCTACAACTTCAAGGACACAATTCAGAAGCTCTCTGGAATATATGCATGAAACTTCACGGGACATGAAGTCCCGTGAAGTTGGCTAAATTGAAAATTTTCACGAGACTTCAAGTCCCGTGAACTTATATACCCCTAATCAACTTTGTTAGTAGGGGGTTAAATTTCATGGGACTTAAAGTCCCGTGAAGTTTCGTACGTTTTTTAATTCAACCTAGTTTCAGCCAACTGGTTCGAATTTGGTAAATAATTTCAAAATGGGTCGTTTTTGACAATTAAGTTTCTAAACAGGTCGAATTTGAAAAGTTGTCCTCTTTTCTAACAACCATTTTCATATATGTCTCATATTTCTTCGTAGGGAAAATTGATTCTAGCCCCCAAAACCCTAACAAGTATCCCGCCAAGACTTTTTCAATGATCCCAAAGCCCCCGAAAAGATTTTCTTACATTCCTTTAGCCCTCTCATGTGTACTTTCAAATATGAGAATACCAAAATACCCTCAAGCAACCGGTTCACTCTATCAAGCCGGTCATCAAAGAAGGAACAGTAGTACTATAGGCATTAATGGTGATTAAAAAGTGGTTTTTGAGGGGAAAAAAACCTCATTTCCCTCTAAATTCTAACAATTTCCTTTCCTCCCCGTTGTAAATTCATCTCCTTTCCCCCAATAAATCCTCTTTGCTTAGCCCAACTACTCTCGTCCGACCACTTAATTCTCCTCAATAAATCATCTTTGATTCTTCAACTATTTTTCTTCAATATAACAAATGTATCCCTTCTTTGTAAGGTTACAAACACAAAAAGCAACGAAGAGGGTGAGGATGTCTTCGTAGTTATCAACGAGTCTACAGAAATCATTAGCTTGAAATATCAAGTGTCCCAAAGGCTTAAACTACTATTGCAATCTCTTTCATTGAAATTGATATCCGAAAGAGAAAAGAAGTTTAGTTTTGCAATTGATAATGATGATGACTTGAGGTTGATGTTCGAGAATTGTCATCGTAATGGATTTACAGACATAAACTTATATGCTACCTTTGTTGGGGAATCCTCAACTTCTCAGAACACCCAAACTTCTCCAGAAAATGTGTAAGCATTTTAATTTTAATTTCCTTATGAGTTCGTTATTAGGTTATGAGTTGGTTGTTAACCTTATGCATTGGTTGCGGGGGGTTTGAGTTGGTTGTTAAGGTTATGAGTTGGTTGCCAACCTTTATGAGATAGTTATGAGTTGATTGCTAGAGTTATGAGTTGGCCGCTAAGTATACGAGTTGGTTGCTGAGGTTATGAGTTGGTTGTTAAGTTTATGAGTTTGTTGTTAAGGTTATGAGTTGGTTATTATGTTTATGAATTTGTTATTAAGGTTATATGTTAGTTGTTAAGGTTATGAGTTAGTTATTAAGGTTATGATTTGGTTGTTAACCTTAGCAGATATTTATGAGTTTTTGTTAGCCTTTTTAGTTGGTTGCTAAGGTTATGGTTGGTTGTTATGTATTAAAGTTTTTTCTTACTTTTACAAGACTATCCTGACAGAAATTTCGTGATGTGTAGCTGCTACGCTTATCCAACCATGTAATGATGAACGTATTCCTAATGACAATCCCACTGGCGACTCGATAATAATGATAGAAGACATGGTTAACAACAAAACCAAGATCCCAGCTGAGTAGCACACATCCATACATGAAATTGGTAAGAAATTTAATAGTACTACTAAAGTTAGATTAGCACTTCAATACTACTCAATTATAAAAAGGTTTGAGTATGATTTTTACCATAATGAACAAAGGCGTATAAGAGTCCATTGCTGATTCAGGGATACGCTAGATTACCCTTGGATGTTATTTTCTTTTCTGCTCTGAAATTCCTCAATTATGTCTATAAAATTTTTTGCTCTACCCACACTTGCGGTCAATACAGAGCTAATGCTGGCAACTCAAGGGCATCAAGAAAGTTTATTGCAAGCTAAATATAATCTATTTTGAAGGTTAGGTCAGATCTTCGGCCAGTTGATATCAAGAATGACTTGTTCTTACATTACGGCATCAAGATTAACTACAGTAAAGCATGACAAAACAAAGAGAGAGCACAACAGGAATTGTTCGATGATGATGATGAGACTTACGATTTACTAAGAATGTAAAACTTATCTTATTAAATAAGTGCTTATACCTTCGTTGTCATGCCTCTGTTATCCTAACTAGTTGTGAAGGTTATAAGTTGGTTGCTAACCTTATATTTTGGTTGTTAAGGTTATGAGTTGGTTGTTAATATTATCAGTTGGTTGTTAGGTTTATGAGTTAGCTATTAAGTTTATGTGTCGGTTGTTAGGTTTATGAGTTTGTTGTTAAGGATATGAATCGGTTGTTAAGGTTACTATTTTATTGTTAAGGTTACAATAACGAGGATAATCTTAATGATTACTTGTTATATTTATGCAGGTATGAAGCCATAGTTCTAGTAACTAATCCAGAAAGTTGTGTTGTTATTGACGCTAATGACGACACGTTTAGGCATTTGTTCATAAGTTATAATGCTTGTATTAAAGGGTTCATTGCTGGATGTAGGCCTTTGTTATCTTTGGATGAAGCATTTCTTAAAGATCGCTACAGAGTATTACTTAGTGCTACAAGATATGATGGCAACCAAGTAATATTTTCTCTTGTTTATTGTGTATGCTGCCAGGAGAATGAGGAGAATTAGAAATGGTTCTTACAAAGAATGTGGACGATCCTATATGATAGGGAAAAGCCTTACAATCCTCCACATCAATTGGAAATGATTTTTAATGCCGACAAGGGTATTCGAGCAGCAATCAAGGAATTCTTTCCAAATGTATTCCATTCAAGGCATGTTCTACATCTAGGAGAGAATTAAAAAAAAAGATGAAGGAGTTGGGTCACAAAGCATATGTTGCTTAAATATTGGGTGGTTTATTACAAACCACGGCTTATAAGTACATAATTTCTGAATGGGATGATTGCATGAAAGAATTGGCATCGATCGATCAAAGGGCTTATGTTACTACAATGAATTATTCCCCGGAGAGATGGACAAATGCTTATTTCCCTAGTATAAGGTATGATACCATTGTTTAAACTTTAATTGTCAAAGTTACATTTTAGTTGTTAATATTGCAGTTTAGTTGTTAAGATTATAGTTATGTTGTTAAGGTTACAGTTTTATTGTTAAGCTTAGGTTTTGATTATTAAGGTTACAGTTTTGTTGTTACATTTTCGTTGTTAAGGTTAGATTTTGGTTGTTAAGTTTATGTCTTAGTTGTTATGTTTACATCTTAGTTATTATGGTTACAGGCAAACTTATGAATTTTTTTCATGTGATTTATAGGTATGACCTGTTGGCCTTCTTGTTTTGATGATGATTTACAAATAATTTACTTCTAATGTTGTTTGTCTAGTGTTTGTGTTTTTGTATCAATTGTAGACAAACAACATATTGGAGGATGGATGTAATTGTGCTTTAACGATCATATCCAATGGAGGTTGGTGGAATAGTGGGTGAAGCCTATGCAATTCAAGTTGAAGATCCAAGTTCTAGTTTTATCTGCAATGTGTACCAAGAAGTGCTTCGTTGAAGATTACAAGCTTGGGTAACATTAGTTTAGGTTTATATTATGTGTGTTGGTACTTTAAGCTCAATTATATATACACACACATTATATTGGTTTCCTTGTATATATATAGTTATATATATACAACACAAGTTTTATATATATATATATATATATACATACATAGTTTTAAGTTTTCATGCTTATAAATATGAGATTACATATTTATTATTGTGTTTTGGTTTAACTATATAGACATGAAACAAATATATATTCATATACATCCTCATATGTTTCATACTCTATTATGTTTGAATTTATATTGCATAGAATATGCAATTTTGTGAAAATATTGTTTTATTGGTTTTTGTACATAATAATAATCATATACATCTTTTACTAAGTCTATATAATCATTTTGTAATGTTTTAAAATATGGTTAAGCTAAAATGTCAAAACTCATATGTTTACATTTTTATTTTTTGGACTATTTTATAAAATGATGATATTTTTTATTTGGGAGGTCTTTTTGAAAACCAATTTTTGTAACATGTTTATTATCATGTTTATAATTATTTTCTGAAGTTTTATATTTTTTGGAATTTATTTGATATTTTTAAACCCAGTTTAAAGTTGAGTTTTTCTGTGCACTTCAGGTCTGTGCATGTTTAGTCGACTCATTAGTCGACTCATAAGTCAACTCACGAAGTGTAGCACAGTTATGATTTTTCTTCTGCTGAGTCGACTCATATAAGTCGACTTATGAAAGAGCCGTTACATAGTAACAGCTAGTTTCCAGCAGTGTTTTCTAGGGGCTTTTTTGTCTTTTCGGTTAGGTTTTGGCTGATGTCTTGGGTTGTTATAAATGATCCATTGCCTTCAGCTCTTCAACCATCTAAGAGAATGTTTTAAATAAGTTTAAAGAGTTTTAAACAAAGGTTTAAGTTTGGTTTAGTGTTTGTTTAAAAAGCTTTTAAGCATTTGAGAGTTTGTTTTGTGAAATCAATTTCACAAGAGCTTGAGGAAGATCATCCATCGGTGTTTGAGCATCCAACTCTTCTCCTTCTCTCTCTTGATCTATAGAGAAGTTTTTCTTAAACTCAATTCTAGCATTTTATATGTTTGATCTTAATTTCATAAGCTATATTTCATATTGAGTTTAAATTGTGTTTATTGAATCTCTTTGTTCACACACAACCATTGAGCTTATTGTATTTACATTCATAGTATAATTTGGGGTTGTGGG